CCACACCATATCTGTCTTAATGTCACTTTATTGATACTTTTGAAATACCATGTACCATGGTAAGCGCTTTGGGCTTCCTGACAGGGTTGCGGAAGGCGCTTTATAAATAAAGCTTTGATTGATTGATTGATTGATTGATTGATTGATTGATTGATTGATTGATTGAAATTTATTGTACATATCAAAGCAATTTGGGCCATTTTAATCATACTAATTAATAACTTTAACACATAACATATTTTTTGTTATTTTCCTCCCTTTTAGTATATCTTTTAGATGGTATGGGGAAAATGAATGCCAATGTGGCGTGATGACGCCATCAGTATGTAAATTAGCACGTGACATCACCTGGCGACATCTAGCAACTTTCGGGGGGAACTTCAGCTACTTTCAGTCAAAAACAGTTGGCAACACTGCCGTAAACTACGTAAGCTTTGAGGAAGTTGTGCGGCGTGGACCATGGATATTAAAAAGAGTGTTTGTTAATGTTTATTGCAAACAAATGGGACAATAAATGCAGCAATAAGCAGGGTGTTGACAAGAAATGTTTGCTAATGTTAAACATTGATTTTACAACATGCGAGGTCCGCAGGTAAAATGTTCAGAACCTCCATTTATTGAAATAAATTGTTGTGATCCACATCCTCAGTTTAATAGAAACCACTGCAGATTATTTGGTTGCTATGTTTTTTTTCTGTCACTCCAATGCCACTCATATGTACTGGTGGAGATGAAAGGGAAATAAAATGACACAAACATTACAAAAGGCCTTTTGTTGTTATCATCTTTAGTGAAAATTAAATACATTGCATTATTACTGAGATGCAGATGGTCACATTCTGTGATAGCCACTATCATATTGAGTGACCTTACTGTAACTTCAGTTATTATGACTTTTACATCACACAAACTGTTTCTGGTAACTTCTCTGATGATGTGGTTTATAAAAATGTGCATTTGACCTCTGACATCTGCATTATTACTGAGATGCAGGTGGTCACATTCTGTGATAGCCACTATCATATTGTGTGACCACGGTCCGCGCCGCTCAACTTCCTCAAAGCTAACGTAGTTTATGGTTTTAACGTAGCATCTTCTTCTTTTATGCCAATTCAGGATGTATAGACACAACAAAACGCAACACTGCCCCCTGGGGTCACAAATTGTGATGGGTTGCAGAATTTGGTGTAACACCGGTGTCTGCAGCTCCGCTGTCTTGGACAAACTAAACACATCTCTCACTCAGCACCGAGTTTACTCAGCTATTTGCCGACGTTGAAGCCCAGAAATGGATATTTTAACCGCTCAGTAATGTGTTCACAACTGAAAGAGAAAGTTTTCCAACTAACTTCCAGACAGAGCTGATCTAACTCCAGCGAGCAGCGACGCGCTCAAATCAGCATGACTCGGTGCCTGCTGTAGTTGTTATTTTTCCTCCCCGACACACAACAACGTGGTCAAGCTGCTCAGTCGCTCTCCATGTTCACCAGCACAAACCTATGCAGATGCAGGTATCTAGCTGGAACAGGTGAGCATCACAGTAAATCAGTGGAGCAAACTGAGCTTTAAATATTTTAATTTTATGCTCTTTTTCTGCTCCAAAACATGAAAGTTAACAGGTGAGATATTGCATTTTCATTCAAGATAAAATTATATTTTTTTCTTGTTGTTGGTACGTGATGAATAGAATAGAAAATCCCTTTATTGCTCCTCAGTGGGGAAAGCTGTCACAGCAGCGATGACACTTATTACAAGAGAAAAAAAGGAGAATAAAAAATAAGAAAAATGAATAAACAACAAGAAAACATATACCCTGAATAGATTTTAAAAATGCTTATACAGTACCGCAAGTAATGAATACCACTGATGGGTTTTATTTAAAATTGACTTGCTCATGTCTAATTTGGTTATTCCACATTCAGTGTTAATGCAAAAATAAGTTTGTTTCCAAATTAAAAGGATCAAAATTTCATGTATGTTAATTTCATGTATGTTGATAAAGAAAATGTGCAAATTTGCCGTCACTTTTTCAAAAAATATTAAGTTTGGCCCACAACTTCGGCCCAGTGTGAATTTGAGTTTGACACCCCCTGGTCTAGACTCTAGAGCATGGGTGGGCAATTCCTGTCCTCGAGGGCTGCTTTCCAGCATTTTTTTTATTTCCCTGTTCCTGCACATATGATTCACCTACTTAGCAACTCATCAAGCTCCGCAGAAGCATGTTGATCCGCTGTTGATTTGAATCAGGTGTGTTGAAGCAAGGGAAAAAATAAAACATGCTAGATAATGGTGCTGGGATTGCTCACCCCCAGGGGCGGATTAAGGACTGAAGAACATCCGGGGCTTAACACACGCACGCGCGCGTGCACACACACGCACACATGTGACACGCACTAGTCAACATCATATTTGTCTTGTACCACATAATTTTTGATCTGATGCAACATATTAAGCATTTTCAGGGCAGAGTATTGTTCCTGTTAGTGTTTAGTGTGAGATGATAGTAAATATTCCCTTTCTTTCTCCATCAACTTTACCTGATAGTAAGCTAACTTTAGGCAAACCAGCAGCACAACAAATATTTTCAAATAAGACCCACAAACCTGAGTCAACACCAGTCTCATCAAAGCTGGGGTTCTGTCGCCGTACTTTTGGTCTAAAAAATGTCCTTATGTCCATCTTCACTCATGCGTTTCAGGCAGAGTGTAGAATAAGCCGGCTGCTGAAGGGCTTCTTCTTCAGTGGTGGAGGCTCAGGCAGGCTGTATACAAACTACTGCCAGCTGCTCCCTCTCTGTTGGACTTTGGTACTACATGTTACTTCCGCGATTTAGATCCGGGGCTTTCTATGAAACATCCGGGGCTTCAGCCCAAGTAGCCGGGCCTAACGCTGCTCCTGCTCACCCCTGTTCTAGAGAGAGCTGATGCTGGAGGAGCAGTGGCTCTACTCCTGGCGCCTCCCGGAAGTTGGAGCTTCTCAGTTTATGGAGGTCTGAGCAAGGGATGGGTGGGCGTGGCCAGCTCCAGATGGTTTTCTCAAAAGTGAGTTATACCATGGGTGGAGACTTCTCAACTAGATTTCCAGTTAGAAAAATACCTGGGAAAAGGGAGGGACACTGGGGCAATGACTGGCAGCAACCCTCCTCAAGCGCGCTCTCGGAGTTTCTCCGTAAGAAAAAAGAGTCGTCAACATGCATGCGCACACTTGCACATGCACACGAGCTCACAAAAGGAGCAGACTCACTGCTCTGGAGAAGAGCAGACAGAAACTGACTGCAGGAAGGAGGCTGTGGCTGATTCTAAATCAGTGTGGAGCGGAGTTTTAACCTGAAGATGGAGATATATTTACGGTTTTGGGCTGAAATATTAAATTTAAAGTAAGTTGTACTAAACTGCCACACCAATTATCACACATGTCTACAGCACTATTACACTCATCTATACAGGTTATACAAACATACAGGTCAGCAAAAAAATGTTAACTTGGGTGTTACTCTCTCTTTAAGTCGTGCAGATTTCTAGTTGCTTAGTAAAAAAAGGTAAAACATCTGTGAAACTTTTGTAGCTGATTTCAATGGAACAGAGAATAAACCATGGACCCTTTTGGATGCATGTAGCCACCTTTCTCCTTTCTTATTGCATGAACTGCTAAAATCCCACGTAATCCTCTAATTTCCCTGTGATTTTGTGACCTCATGGGATGCTTTTGCTGCCATTTTGCATCCGAAATGCTCCCAGCTGGAAAGGACCTTGTGGGCAATCCAGTGGAAAGTCAGGGTAAATGGGGGATGGGTGGGCGTGGCCAGCTCCAGCTAGTTTTCTTAACTCATTCACTGCCAATGACAACTAAAGTCGTCATTTGCATTTTTTTTACTGTGTGGGCATCGGAACGAGCCCCCGCACCTTGAGAACATCTCAGCTCTAAAGCCGACCTTCATCTGCATATGTCACACTTCACGTGATCAGGAAGCAGAAAATCCATGTGTTAGGAGATCGTTTTAGGCCGCTGCTGTAAAAAAAGTGAGGCGCAGACCGGAAAAGTTTCTGCCGATCACAATTCAACAGCGGATTGTGAAAGAACAGATAGCGCTCAAAACGCGTTGATTCTTCCTGATGTAAGAGGTGAGTCTCCTCTTTGTTTTGGTGTCGACATCATCCTAGCGCGCAACGTTCTGTGACTCTTAAAAAAACAGTAAAAACGGTGAGAAGTGCTGGCAGCGAAGGGCTTTACCAGTCAGGAAACGGCTGGCAGCGAATGAGTTAAAGTGACAGAGCTCTGAAATGGCTCATTCTGGAAGGAACTGAAACTTAAGAATGTATGCTGAAATAGCTTCATGTGAGAGGGATTCAGAGTGAAGAACTTTCTAAGCATGTTCCGTATCAACCATATATTTCTATGGAACTTTAATGTCTAGCATCTCAAAATCTGAGATTTGGGCACCAAAAATGGGCATTCTGCTGAATCCATGTGCCACTTTTGGGATGTAACTGGTGTTTTCTGACTGTGCTGCTCTCTGCCTGAGAGTAAAGCTGTAATCACTCTGGGCATAATTAGAGAGGATTCAGTGGCCAGACTCGCCCCAACAAACCCAGAAATAACATTTTCTGCTAAAAACACAGAACTGATGCTGCAACATCGCTGCAGCTGTTCTTAAACCACAGTAAACATTTGGGTTAAAAAAATAACTAATTTGTTCAAATAAAATGTTATTTGCACAGAAAGATTCCTGGAAGCAAAAAACTGACTTTTTGTTTTTAAAATCTCACCAGGTTTATACATTTAGGCTCATTTTTCCATTAAAAATGTGGAAAGTGCAGCACGAGCTTACAGGAATAAGAACAGACTGAGGGTGGAAAGTTGAGGAGGAGGTGCTGAGAAGAGAGGGTTGGACATTAGTTTACTTCAAGACTTTTTAGAACAGAGTTAAAAAATCAGCGTCTAACTCAGCAGGGAGGGTGAATGCTCGGAAACTCACTCTCCCTTTCTTCTTCACCCTGCAGTCTTCAGCTCATCATTCAGCTGCACCCACCACCAGGAAACGATCAATCTGTGAGTAAATATTTAGGTTTGATTTGGAGGATTATTTTATTTCCTTTTAACATTTAAGTTGAAAACACTGATTTTAACTATTCGTTCAGATTAGCTGCAAGATTGCAGCTGAAAATCTAAAAATAGACAAGAAAAAATTGCTTAATTTCCACAAATATGTAAAGACTACTTTCAGTGATGGCTTTGATTAGAAATTTTAAACACAATAATCTTTCATTTGCTATTTTTCCCCACAAAATGGCATAAAGAATTTTTATGGTTTAATAAATGCATATTAGTCATATTTTCTGTTTTTCACAGGAAATGTCTTAATTTAACCTAAAAATTGTCATCGAGTAAAACAGCAAATAAACTTTAAAAATCAGAATGTTTAAGAAACAGAATACAACATTTGCTAAAAGGATTTTAGATGCATCAGAATATTTATTTATTTTAAGATATAAACAAAAATTTCAGTTGTTGTTTTTGGATTTTTATCCTTTTTTAAGATTTTCTCCACGTTAAGGTGGTTTATTATTATAGATTGATGTTAAAGCAGGACAAATGCTTTTAGACTGGACTAGATTTTTGTAATTTATTAATTACGTTATTAATTATAAACTATTGCATCAAATCTGTTCAAGTAATTTGTTTTTAAATCTTCATCAAATATCAAAATGTTTTTATATGTTTTTAACTAAACTTTAAAATCTGCTCCTCGTGCTCCCAGACAGGAACTAGTTGTGTAGAAAATCTGTGATAAAAACTCAGAATGAATGAAAGTTTACTAATCAAACCCTCTAATTGACTAATTCTACATTTCCAACTCTTAGCTATAAACACTAATTTTTTACAGAACATGAGATTCAACTCAAACGTTCAGCTTTAGACTAAAAATGTTACAAATAAGGAAAAATAAGCAAAATTCACTAAATCCGTCATTGATGCATCTAAATCTGAGAGCTGTTCTCTGCCATGTAATGGGCAGGGAATTCAATCCCAGAATGGCATTGAGGAAATGTAATTTTAGCTGTAATTACTGGGATCGGAGGCTGGGATCTGCTCCATAGCGGTACATCCAAGGATGAAGACCCACCTTGTGGTCCGGTAGAAAACTGACCACACAAGGAGCGGAGGGCTCTCGCTGTGCAGCAGCTTGAGTTTAACAGGATGCTGATTAGAGGGTTGTCTTTACATCTTGGCGCTACATAATTACACACCGAGTTAAGAGTGAAACAGGTCTGAGATGTTAACAGATGCGCTGGCTGCAGCTTTCTTTGTCAGGATGAGGAGAAAACAGAGAGGGAACTGTCAACAGGATTGGTCGGGGAGTTTGTTCGGACAGTTGTTCTGTAAGTAAATGCAGATTGTTGTTTTTTTCTCAGGGAAGCAGAAATATCTCCCTCAAGTCTGCTGAGGGCAGGCAGCGAGCAGCTGGTGCCCAGTGCAAATATAGAGGCCACAGCCGCAGGTCTCTCACGCCTCCCTGCTCCCTGCTTCCGCCTGGCTTTGGTGTGGTGGATGGGTGGCCTCCCTCTGCTTTACAAATTATAAGGCCTCCAGCACCAAGCTCGCTGTCTCCACCCCAAATGAGAGATGGCTAAAATGGTGCCTGCTGAAATAGATCTGCTCCAAGCTGAGAGGGGAAGATGGAAGGCCTAGAAACCCGATGGGTCGGGATTAGATAGGACCAGGGTGTCTGAGCTCAGATGGGTTTAGATTCTGTCACCAAACAGGACGGTGTTCCAGCAAACAGGGATGTTTCTGTTGCGCAGATGAAGCATCCTGGATTCATGGGAATATTGGGACACGTTTGTACTTTCCCCAGATTAAAGGTGTGGAACACTGAAAAAACTAGTTTTAGTGATTATTTCTATTATAATCAATAAATCAGAGTTTTTATGCAGGCTGGACATAAAAATAGTCTCCTACACCTATCTCCTGCTTTAGCTTCTGATAGAAAATAAATGTTGAAACACTAGGATTTGAAAATCTTTACCGCCCTGCGTCACTTGGACTCACACATGTTGACTCGAGACGAGGAAGGCTGTGGTTGTTTTAACATCCAGGAATCAGCAGAGGACGTCTCGACTAGTATAAGCTAACGTTAGCATTGGCAACTCCACCACACAGCAGAACTCCTCCAGGATTGTGTTGTTTGTGGAGATAAAACACCACGTTGCAAGTCAGTGGTAGAGTCGCATTGCTGTTAGCCAATCAGAGGTGAGATGTCCAAATATCAGGAAATGAGACTACAACACCTGCCGTCTGAAGCTCATCTGTGATCCGGCTCGCTTCTAGTTCCTGGAAATGGTGCACCAGTATATTTTTTCCCACCGAGTATGACTGACAAATAATTCTTTCCTATCAGAGACCACTGCAAATGTACTGATTAAACAAGTGTTCAACACCTTTAATGTTTCCTTCCGTTTCTGTTTCAGCACCTGTGGTTTGTTGAAGATGAAGTCCTTCGCCTCTGTGACTCTGCTCTGGCTCTGCTGCAGCGTGTGTCGCGCCTCTCCCTTGTTCTACAACATATCCATGGACAGCAGTGGCGATGGGGCAGAGCCGGAGCTCCTATTCCCCACACCCTTCTCCACCCAAGCACCTGTGCATCTCACTGTGCTGACTGAGCCTCCCAACCTCACCACCGCCATCACCAACACCATCACCACCACCATGATCCGCCTGAAAGACTTTGTCCTCACCAGGGTGGTGGACTTCCTGCAGGAAAACCTGCTGATCATCATCGTGGTTACCTCTCTCCTCATCGTCATGGTCTTCATCATCTGCTGCGCCTCGGCCATGAGTCAGAAGCGCAAACTGGAGGCTTACAAGCCCCTTCATAACCCGCCCAAGAAGAAAACGGCCAGTAAAACTGGAGGAAGCAGGAGCTCTGGCGAGCTCCAGGAGAAACCGTTCGCCGTGGATCACGTCAAGAAGGTGCAGACTCTGAGCTCGGCTTCTCCCAAGCACCTCCGCACGCCCTCCAAGGCTCTGGTGGGAGAACGGGGGAGAGACGTCAGATCGTCGCCTCGTCAGGAGGTCAGAAAGGTCAGAGAAGTGGAGGAGGTGGAGAAACGGAGAGAGGAGTCTAAGCAGAGAGAGGAAGTGAAGGTCCAGCAGAGCTTCAGTCCCAGCACCAGTCAGCCGGTCTGCACCTGCCATCTGAAAAGAGCCAACCATTAGGGTCCGACCAGGACTTTTACTACACACACACGCAGGAAAATAGGTCATCGGGATTAAATCCTACTCTATTTCAAAATAAAACCAATAATTTATATTGAAATCAAAACATCTGAAAAGGCTATTTTAAGGAAACACTCAGGTGTTTTTGCAGTTTCATATCATAGCTGCTACTTTACTTTGATTTTTTTTATTAAATGATCCAAACAGGTCAATGAAGGTAGAGAAGTCGTGAGTTCAAACCTGGAAAACGTGCTTAAAGAACGAAAATAGCACAAATGAAATGGAACAGATGGAGGATAATGTAAAGTTGGTGCATGCAGACGTGTTTGGAGTATGCAGGGTAGACATAGAGCATGTAGAGACAGCTGGTTTCCGTGGATACAGGAGGTAGTAATCCATGTGTGTTTTAGTGGTGACGGTAACGCCTGTCCACCAAACCCCAAACCTCCCAGCTACAGAGGTGCAGTGGGCGGAATAAACTTTACTCTGAAAAACAATCTGAGGAAGACTAAACACTAGACTCATTTTTAGGATTTCTAAATGAATCTGAATCATGAGTTCTAGCTAGAGAAAAGTCTCCAGTTTGTCCTCATGTGGGTCATAAAATCACTTTAGAGCTGCAAGTAAAAACAGAAGTGAAACATGAAAGTGAAGTGCCAGTAAACTTGATTCTTAAATGTTCTTTATATATTCCAGCTTAGTGTTAGTATTTTATTCATTTTGTGTTTTATTTTGAAACCCAGTTCAGCTGAAAGCTCAAAGGAGTTTTTATTTGGTTATTTAATTTCTGGGTATTAAAAGCAAAGTTGTCTTCTTTACATCTTATTTCCATATTTATTTAATAGATGTTTCTGATCTGAAGTCACAACCAGCAGATTTATTAATAATCAACATTATCAGACACATTCTGCAGATCATTTAAATGATGTTTTAATAGATCCTTAAAAGAATCATCTCAAATCCTTTCTTTCATATGATTTCACTAATTAGGCATCAAAGCAAATGTTTAATTCATACATTTTGACATGTATTTAAATCTTTTTCTGCTGAACCTCAGATTTTTGTTCCCCTGTTTCTTTTCCTGTGACTTTACAACACTTTTGTTTTTCTTGTGTTTAATAAAACTCTTAAACTGATGCATTTTTGTCATTATTCCAAAAGCAGCAGTAGAAACGCTGGAAGCAAAGCAAAGTTTCAGCCTCGAGGTTATTAAACTGTAACAAGCTCCCAAAATAAAGGATGTTCTGTATGTGTGCATTACGTCTGGCTGCTAATCTGTCATTTTGGACTCTACCTACTCAGGAATCACGGGCTGTTTGGAGGTAATAACCCAGATTTAAGATACCTCCTCTCTGTGATAAGAGTTTAGTTGTTCTGTAATTTAAGCACGACCTCGCCCACAGCCTCCTGACTGGACTTGATGGGACCACTGGCAGCATCAGGACCACCAGAACTTCTCTTTGTTCTCACTCAGTTTCTCAAATGTCTAATTGCAACAAGTGAATTTCCCACTGTGGCATCAATAAAGTCTATTCTACTCCAAATGTTGCGTCAGAACTGAATGGCAGAAGGCTCAGATCCATTCGGACCAGAACCTCTCGCCACAAAAACAGTTTCTTCCCCTCTGCAGTTGGACTTTTGAAATGAAAATCCTAGGGCAGCCCACTCAAGCTGATTGGTCCCAGTCACGTGACCCGATGCTGTGCTTGAGCCATTCAACAAATACTCAGATTAATACCTACACGGAGTAGATAGCTGCTTCTCTAATTCTTGCCACTTTTTACATTAATAATTTTATCATGAGTGTTTTATTAGTTCTTATATTTGCTTATCTCTTAATTAATTTTTTTTCCATCTTACCTTCTGCACCAAATACCGCAGCAATTTCCTAATGTTGTGACTTGGCACACATATGGCAATAAAAACTTCTGATTCTGAATGAAATCTAATGGATGTGATTGATAAAACACTGCCCCCATGTGACCAATGCAGGTATTGATTTATAATTTCTTAACTCTTTGTTTCTATCACCTAGCCTGGCAAGCCAGACTAAATAAATGTATTATTTAGTCTGGCCATGCTCCATCGACGGCTCTCGGTTGTGGGGCGGGTTCTACCGTTGTCTTTCAAATGATCTCCGCATTCCACTGGACAATGAATGTGACATACTCTTGTTTCACTCTGTTGCATCATCCCACCCACCAGGCATATAGAGTGCCCTGATTGGCCCACAAAGCAGATAAAGCTCTGTGATTTGTTCACTAAGCAGATAGAGCACTATGATTGGCCCACCATTATGGACCAATCACAGCTCTTTATGTGTTTGAAACCCCTCTAGAGAGCTGTGATTGGCTAGCCAGAGTCCTGGTAGGAGCTGCTGAGGTTCCAATGGAGCATGCCTAGACCATTCTTTGCAAAGCAAGAATTTGGTCTAGTTCACTAGGCTATCTATCACCATCATTTCACCTGAAATCTACTTTTAGATGATTTAGATTTCCTCAGAAGATGAATCAATGTTATAACAGATGAGCGAACGTCAGTGTCAAAGATCAAACATGACACGACACGGCCTCGGAAACATGAGCCTCGCCTTCGGGTCAGATTCCCTGCCTTTAAGCCAGCGAAGCTCTAAATAATTCGAGAAAGTTCTGCCCCATCTTTCACTTTCTCTCCTTCTATTGGCGTCAAGCAACAGAAAAGACTCTCAAACACATAGAATCCAGCTTACGCTTCATTTAAAGCAAACCCTTGACCTTTTGTGACCTCATGTCTCTGCTGAGTGCCTCTGACCAATAACAGGACCTCTCCATCTATGTGAAGCCTGAAGGTAACAGAGCACCTTAAGGCGTTAAAGTTTGATGAGCATCAGCCGGGAATTCTGGCCAGCAGCGGCTATCTTCAGGGAACGGAGGAGCTCTGGGAACTTTCTCCAGCCAGAGTCAGCGGATGACAACAGAGCAGAATAATGGTGAGTTTGCTTTGGGTTAAATAATCAACCAGTCCAGTTCTTAGAAAAGGCTTTAGCGGTTCTTCGGTTTTTATTTTCTCAGCTCATCGGTTCTTCTGTTAAACGTTTCTTTAGACTCCGGCTGCTTTTTCACAGATCTTCTGACCTGAATGTGTTCAGACGAGCTGCTGTTGTTTGTGACAGGTGGAACTATCCTAAATGACTCACACAGCAGAAACAAACAGGAAACTGGTCATTCTGAACACTCTATTTGCAGAAAAGGAAGATGCATCTCAGAACTCCTGTTTTGAAGGCTTTGATGAATCTTTTTCCCGTTTTTTAAAGACTTAACTTTAAGATCTCTTTCATCCTGCTGTAGGACCTTTGCTGTACTCTTCCTTCATTTTTAGAGGAAAACGCTGTCATGCAAGGTGAAAACAACTAAAGCAGCTTATTTGTTGTTTTAAAATGACTTGTTTCTTGTTGTTTTTGGCTCACGTTGAAGACTTAACCCAACAGTGTTGAGGTCAAATGAGGTCTCTTTGAACGCTTCTGTCATGATCGTACAAACGTATAAATTAGAGTTCCAAATAAGTTGCTTTTAGCGTTTGTCTCATCTTCATTTTTCAGTGAGACATGCTTTGGTGCAGACCGGATGTCCTCCTCACTCTCTGGATCTGTCCCCTCACCTGCCTCATGATGTCCCCCTGTCCCCCTGGCTGCTGCTGTCCTGGCCCAGGATTTCTGGTGCTGTGTGAGTCTCTGGGTCTGAGGTCGCTGCCCCGCTCCGTTCCCCTCAGCACCTCCGTTCTGTCTGTGGCCAGAAATCAGCTCTGTAACGTGGACCACTTGCTCTGGTCCTTCTCCGGTCTGCAGGAGCTCAGCCTCAGTCACAACCTGCTGGCCCGCTTCCCTCGAGGCCTGCCGCCCAGCCTGGAGTCCCTGCTGCTGCAAGAGAACCGCATCACTTACATCACCACAGGCGCTCTGAGGCAGCTGAGAAACCTCACTCGTCTAGATCTAGAGGACAACCGAATCCGTACCATCCAGCCTGCGGCTCTGCTGAGCCTTAAGAAGCTGCAGATCCTGACACTGAAAGGGAACAAGCTGACCAGGTTCCCTCTGAACCTCCCACCATCACTGACACATTTGGACCTGTCAGGAAACTGCATTTCCTCCCTGGACCTGCCCTCGCTGTCCACCCTAATCAACCTGCAGGTCCTGCAGATCAACAGCAACTGTCTGAGAACCGTCCCAGACAACACCTTTGACTACCTGCCTCGTCTCAGGTCTGTGGATCTGACGGACAACCTGTGGGCGTGCGAGTGTGACATTTTATATCTTTACCGCTGGCTGCTGAGCGGCAGACTGAAGATGGCTACACATCTGGTGTGCAAAGAGCCCATCCATCTGGCTCAGCGCCTGCTACTGAACCTCTCCGTCGTGTCCATCTGTCCTCGTGTCCTGCAGCCACACAAACTCGATCTCGAGTCTGCAGCGACGAATGAGCCAACAGAGCAAGACCGGATGCGGAAATTAGCAAAAGAAATCATCGATTCTGAAGAAGTGACCACCAAAGATCCGTCTCAGACACGCGTTCTCCATTACTCTTTAGAGTCTCTCAACTACGAAGACTGTTTGTCTCAGAATCAAACCCAATCCATCGACCCACCTCACCTAAAAACCACCTCTCTCCCCAAAGAGGAGCAGCTGTGCAGAGAAAACACAACAGCTCAGAGGAACGGCACCTCAGCTGTAGGAACACAATCTTGGCTGTCCACAAACAGAAACGACCTCTTGTCCAACACACACGTTCTCACTCCGGACTCGGCTACGATCATCTCTCTGCTCGCCGTGTCGTGTGTCCTTTTAGCTCTTGTGATGCTGGCGGTGCTAATTATGCTGAAAAAGGTACTTGTCCGGCAGCAAAGGGTGGCCCCCACCGTGGAGGGATCTGGTGCATAACAGCCTATTTAAAAACTTTAAATCCAGAATGTGTGAATACAGGATTTTTTTCCACAGGTAAACTTTTGCCATCACACTTTATTCACACACAACTGAGCCAAATAAATCCTCAAAGCCAAAATACACATTAAAATCAAAACAAACCTGAATCTATTAACTCTTGTAGCTTGTTTTATCTGCTGAAAATCACCGCAAAAAAATGAAAAGTGTCACACTCGCTCCTATATAGATAGTTGTCAAGCTCCAAGCTGGAATCCACATATTTCTGTAGCGGCTGATCCCCGTCGAAGGCTCCCAGAAGGACCCGGCTCGATGGAGGGCCTTCATTTCCACGGCGCCGATCCCCTGAGAGACGTTTGTTACCGAGATGTCAGCGAGACATCACGTAAACGATGGCAGAGGACAGATGAATTGATGGCTTTGACACGTTAGTCCTTTTTGTCCTGCTGTTTTAGTCTGTAGTCTGAAAGTGCTGCTTTGATGGCGTCTTCTGCGAGCACTGAAAAAGGGATTTAAAGACATTTGTAGCATGAATGAAATAAAGAATAATGTGCAATTTTAAGACATCTTGTAGAAAAAAAGTTTGTCAAGTTTGTGGAATAATGTCAAACAAGAGTATTAAAGCAAGTTTTATGAAGTTAAAACTAAAAAAAATTATTGATTTGTTGAATAGATTTAAGGTTGAAAAGCTAAAAATGACATTTGCATACAAAGATCTATTAGTTATGTGCAGATTTGATCAGTTAAAGGCACCAAAATGTATCAGCAGATGACAGGAAAAGATTGATTCTTTAAAGTGTTGCACAATTCTTGTTTATGTGTAAAGTTTTATGTTTAACATCAATAATCTTGCTTTAACTCACTAGAACAGTGAAGCTTGACAGGAGGAAGGCACAGCTCTCTGGCAAGGTCTGTGTTCTTAATCTTCAGCGCGTCTTCTATCTGGAGGGTGGGATCAGGTTATTCAGACCTTCTGCTCTAAAACAAGAACAGTCTTCATAAATGTAATAATTCTTGCCCTACCGATTTCCCCTTCACCCACTCTGTAGCTAAAGAGCTGGAGGCGATGGCGGATCCGCAGCCGAATGTTTTGAATTTTGCATCAGATATTTTGCCATCTTCATCCACTTGGATCTGGAAACAGTATGAATAATACCGCCGGGTGTCGTTTATGAGTGAAAAGTCTTTAACGGCAGTTTTGTTTCAGCTTACCTGAAGTTTCATAACATCACCACAGGCTGGAGCACCCACCAGTCCGGTCCCCACGCTCTTGGAGTTCTTGTCCAAAGAGCCCACATTCCTCGGGTTTTCATAATGGTCCACCACCTTCAGGACAGTTAATTAAATGCATTAATGTTTCAGGACTTGCGTTGACTTCTAACACCACACAATCAAACAAACCGAGGACTTTACTTCACACAAAGTCAATGACATTCTTTGGTCGGTTACCTTTTTATGATATGAGCAAAGAACGGTCAGCTTTGGTCTGAAAAACCTTTGGTGAAATGATGAAAACAGAGAAGAAGAATTTCGCAAGGAGGCAGTCGCCATGTTTGGACGCCGACCGTAAGCGGAAATTAACGAGTGAACCCGAACGACGGCGAACTCTTTCTGTCAGAAAAGTGTTTTCATAACAACTGCGCGCCACTAGCGGTGAATAGTGGCTACTGCAGTTTCCCGGGATGCGTGGTGGAAACGGCAAAACTTTGTAACATATAATTTAATCACTGAAGTTTTTTAAACCTGTAAGATGTTGATGTCAGATGTTAAAATAGTCAAACGTTTTTGTTGATATTAACATTTAATGACTAGAGTGGTATGAATTGCTATTTCATTTTTAATTGCATCTTTGTATAACTAATTTCTTCCCCCTCAAAAACATTTGATATACCGAAACATTTCCATCCACAATCAGCGTTTGAAATATTGAGAATTCCTTAAAAACAATTATAATTAACATAACTTAATTAATTAATGTGAAATTAGTCTTTATCGTGAGATGGTAAATTATTTATTCAGAATAAACAAGATGGAAACATGAAAAATAAATTTTACAGAAAGAAACTCAAATTTCAGACATCTGCAATTCTTTCTGACTTGCTATGAGGCCTGTAAATAAAATAACAATTTATTTTATTCCACCCAACTGAAGTTTTAAGAGTTCCCAGTTATCTTGGATATTTGCATTTATATTGTTTCTACTAACTAGGCATGTTCTCAAATGCTTAAAATTATTTCATATTTGCCGTATCACGGACTAATGAGATTTTAATTTTGTCGTCACTTTTATTTATACCCGTTATTTCAGATTAATGGGATTGAGATGATGCGACTCTCGTTATTACAAATTTTTTTATATGATAAATCGGCTTGCCCAACCCACGCCTCTGTTCTTTGGGCTAGGCTTGTTGTTACCAGGCAGACAGACTTTTCAATATGGCAGCGCCAGGCAACGCAGAGCAAACGCAGTTGCAGGATATGGAAGAGGACGAAGCAGGAGTAGAGGAAAGAGAGATGGAATCGGACGAGGAAGAAGGCATGGGTGTAGAAAATTCAGACGACGAAGAGGACGAATCGTCGGAGGACGAGAAAGAAAATGAAGCCGAGATCCAGCGATTGGAGGAGCAGGTAATTGGTCAACAATCCTGCCAAGCCTGATTAGTCAACATTAGCCGTGGAAGCTAATGAGAATGAATGAGTGCTGAACGCAGAAACTCGTGAGGTTTCAAGCTCATTGCGTGTTGCTCATCCCTTTATAGGTTTTGATTAAAACCAGAATAAATAGTTCATATGTTCATTAAAACATTTAGGCAACTGCGTAGTTCACGGCATGAATCACACGTCGTGATTAGCCCGTGCTAACCTCCGATGCTAACGTTTGGTCCTGCAGCACGCGCCTTTTTGCGACCTGGGCATGGAAACAGCTTTATACGTACTAAGAACGAGGGTCACCTGTCCTAACTTTAGTGTAACTAATAAACATGTTCGAGCACAACTCACAAGTGCATCATTTGTAGAAATAAAATGCTTTTTCACATGAAAAAAACAAGTTTACTACTACAATAACTGGACTTAGTCTGTGGTCTAAACAATCCGATTTATTTATTTGTTAATGTATTTATTGCTTGTTGCTCCACCCCTACAATTAGGCTTTAATCTTTACATCAGCTGTTTTTGGCAGTAAAACTAACTTACTGGATTGCTTTTTCATTAATTAAAGATCAATAAACTCAAAAAGAAAATTATGTAAAATTAGTTTAATGATTCAACATGACGCTCGTGTCTCTTTTTGCACTTTTGCAGCTTTCGATCAACGCTTTTGACTACAACTGTCATGTGGATCTGATCAAACTCCTGAAGCACGAGGGAGAACTTTTTCGTCTGAGAAAGGCGAGGCAGAAGATGAGCGAGCTTTTCCCTCTCACTGAAGGTTGGTTCACATCTAATCCAGCTGCCAATTCCAAGGAACCAGCAGCTTTGTGTCGTCTGCCACTGAAATTACATTTTGGTATATGTTTGCAGAGATCTGGCTGGACTGGCTCAAGGATGAAATCCGTCTGACTGAGGAGGATGCAAATCGGGAGAAAGTGTACGAGCTGTTTGAGAGAGCTGTTAAAGACTACATTTGTGAGTCAACTATACTGCTGTTGTTGAATTTATTCTAACATTCAGCTGTTTTAATGGTCTGAATCATTTTATTCTGTGACTGGTTGAACAGGCCCAGAGATCTGGCTTGAATATGCCCAGTATTCAATTGGTGGCATGGGGTCACCTGGTGGGATAGACAAGGTCAGATCTATCTTTGAGAGAGCGGTAACAGCGGTGGGACTCCACATGACCAAGGGGCAGACGCTGTGGGAGGCCTACAGAGAGTTTGAGAATGCACTTTTGTCTACGTTGCAGGTTTGTGCTGCTCACTGGTCAACCATGTACTCAGTATTTCTAAATAATTTAATAATATTTATGTAGAATGATGATGTTTCTGTATTCTATTGCAGTCTAGATAGATAAGTAAATGTCTTATTTTATTGATTCAAAGCATGCTCTCATATCTATGCCTGGAAAGAATTCCTTTAGATTTTTGACTAAATTGGCTGTTTTTCATCCTAATTTACTCTCCCGTCTTTGCTCTCAGCCTCCCCCTGGCAGGATTCCCAGCCACGAGGAGCAGGAACTGCTCAACAATCAGCTCGAGCGAATCCATACATTGTTTCGCCGCCAGCTGGCCGTTCCACTAATGGGTAGGCATGGCACCTCCTCTGTCCAGATGGCTTCTGCACAGATGGGCTGGCTGGATGTCACGACTTCTTCGATGAACAAGTTTAAATTGCTTACTGCTTTTGCAGAAATGGAAACCACCTATGCTGAGTATGAGGAGTGGTCTGAAAACGGGGTTCCTGAGACTGTCGTCCATCAGTACAAAAAGGCTTTGCAGCAGATGCAGAAGTGCAAATCTTATGAAGAAGCTCTGGTAACTGAACACTTATCTTTTTTTTAAGTGGTTTGCACAAAGTGTTTTTGCAGCGCATGTCATTTCTGCTATATCTTTCTCTAGCTGGTAGCAGAACCTCCTAAACTGGCAGAATATCAGGCCTACATTGAGTTTGAGCTAAAGGAGGGGGACCCACCACGGATCCAGATTACCTTCGAGCGAGCTCTGGCTGAGAACTGCCTGGTTCCAGACATGTGGACTAAATACACCACATATCTCGTGAGTATTGGTTACTGTTCGCAGTCGTGTCATTACAGCATCTAAGGTTTCAGAAGTAAATAAATGAAAAAATCACAGCTAGTCAGAGTGTAAAAGGTCCTTACTGGTTTTACAGGATCGTCAGCTGAAGATCAAAGACTTGGTTCTGTCCACTCACGAGCGAGCGGTCAGGAACTGCCCGTGGACCATGAGTCTGTGGAAGAGCTACCTGTTGGCCCTGGAGAGGCATGGCAGCGACCATCACACTGTGTCAGGTAGCGGCTAGGTTCAGCATCAAGTCGACCAGTCAGCTGCTTTATTAGTGTCAAGCGTTTGTGAAGCAGATTGATGTTAATCTCTTCTGCACAGATGTTTTTGAGAAGGCTCTGAACGCAGGCTTCATTCAAGCCACAGATTATGTAGAAATTTGGCAGGCCTACCTGGACTACCTGAGGAGACGTGTGGATTTCTCTAAAGGTGAGAGCAGATCTGTGTCTAAAACAGTTGCTGTCTTTAAGTTTTAGTCTGATGGCTTTTGTTTTAATTTATTTTGTTTCTAGAGTCGAGTAAAGAGCTAGAAGAGCTACGAGCAGCCTTCTCTCGGTCTCTGGACTACATGAAACAAGATGTAGAAGAAAGTAGGCGAGCTTCACATCCTCTACTCTGGACGTTCTTCGGGCCTGGTTTTGGTTTTCACGCTGCCATCTTGTGTCTCTGCAGGGTTTGGTGAAAGTGGAGATCCCTCTTGTGTCATCATGCAGATTTGGGCACGGATAGAGGTAAGATCAGTCACCATGGCAACCATTTACAGACGCCGGTGTCAAATAATGGAATGACAAAGAGTGAATGAGGCATCAGCTGCTGCTAGAGCGCTGATTTTCTTTAGTTAGATGTTATAAATCTGTTTGTACTTTTCAGTGAAGACTAAAAAAGTTTGCTTTTTTTTAATTTATTATAGAAATTCTCATGTTCTTCTTACTTTTCCACCAGGCCCGCCACTGCAAGAACATGCAAAAAGCCAGAGAGCTATGGGACAGCATCATGACCAAAGGGAATGCCAAATATGCCAACATGTGGTTGGAATACTACAACCTTGAAAGGTTTGTCTGTTGGGAGTTGGCGATTCTCTCGTGACTTTGTGAATATTCTCTCATTTCTATTGTTCATGATCCGCAGGGCCTACGGGGACACTGCTCACTGCAGGAAGGCTCTTCACAGAGCTGTCCAGTGCTCCTCGGACTACCCAGAACACGCCTGTGAAGTCCTGCTCACGTTTGAGAGAGTAGAAGGTGAGCTTTGCCCCAAAACAAAGCAAAGGGAGAGTGTTTTATTATTTATTGTTCATGTGTACCGTATTTTCCGAACTATAAGTCGCACTTTTTTTCATAGTCTGGCTGGTCCTGCGACTTAAATACCAAATTATGTATACCGCGCTGCTGCAGGCTGGCTCCGGACCAGGAATGAGCTCCCCTGCCCTGCTGGGAGGGTTTCAAACACCGCCATCACCTGCTGGAGATCGTGGCGCGCTGCTGCGCCCTGATTGTTTATTCTCTTATTGTTACCAGTACTTGTCTTGCAATTTGAAATGCTTGGTCTCAGATTTTGTAAGAAAAATAATAAAATTTCCCCCCAAAATGCGACTTATATATGTTTTTTTCTTATTCATTATACATTTTATGGCTGGTGCGACTTATACTCCGGAAACTACGGTATTTAGTGACAGGATAGAGGCGTCATAATTAAGATTTATTACTGGAGGAACGACTCAAGTGGATGATTTAGCATCTTTGCAGCAAATCCAACTTACATTTCCCAACAGTTGCCCTCTCATGTAAGCAGTTAGTTGCTTAAATGTTTCTGTCGTCATGCAGGAACTTTGGAGGATTGGGACACGGCGGTGCAAAAGACGGAGACCAGACTGAACAGAGTTAATGAACAACGAGCGAAGGTAGAGGCACACGTCTCTGCTGCAGAGGGCAGGCGCGTCGTTCGGCTACGTTTGGCTAACGTTACCGTACCCCCCCATTTATCAGGCGGCTGAGAGAGGAGCCACCCAGGTCCGCCAAGAGGAGGAGAGGGTTGAGCAGCGGCGGAAGGCCAAGGCAGATAAGAAGTCTCAGAAGAAGGTGCAAAAGGGTCGAGCTGGAGAGAAGAGGAAAGCGGGACGGGATGACGATCAGGATGAATGGAACAAGGATTCTGGTAAAATTTAGTTAGTGATAAAATGTTGGTTTTAGCAAAATGTGTTTTATTAATTCTTTTTTCTTTCAAGCTCCTAAAAGGCAGAGAGCAGGCGGCGACAACAGCGCTACAGATGAGTTCATGGAGACGGAGACCGAACTCTTAAGGAGAAACGCTCCCCCTGGATATAAACCCGGAGGCGGCACTAAAAAGCCCCAGCAGGAAGCAGGGCTCCCCCCCCGGAACCAAAACGACGAAAAACCGGAGCTGCGAGACGATACCTCCAGCGTGTTCATCAGCAACCTGGCGTACACCATGGAGGAGCCCGAGGCGAAGCTGAAGGCGCTTTTTGAGACCTGCGGTCCGATCAAGCAGATCCGACCGGTCTTCAGCAACAAAGGGAGCTTCAAAGGTTACTGCTACTTACAGTTCGAGTCCTTGGTGTCGGTGTCCGAAGCGCTGAAGCTGGACAGACGGGAAGTGGAGGGCAGGCCGATGTTCGTGTCTCCCTGTGTGGACAAAAGCAAAAATCCTGACTTTAAGGTGAGTAAATGTAACACATAACTTCTGCCTGGAGGTCCACATCTGGAACATCTTAATCTGTTTCCTTGATATGTGGCATTGATTGAGTTAATCCAGGGTTTGTGATGATTTGACTGTTTTCTGAGGATGATCAGGATTATTTTACAGCTGTTTTAACGTGAAAATAATTATTTTGAGATGCTGAATAATTAAATGACAGACTTGTAAAAACACACAGATGTGCTGAAGTCTCTCTGCAGGTTTCCCATCATGATTAAGCTCACACTTATGTCTCCTCTAGTTTGAGCTCTGACTGGCTTTTTTTGCAGCTCTCATCTTGGCGGTGATTCTGCAGCCTGTTGTTTTCCCGTTAATCCTGCTTTGATGAAAGCTTCAAACTGGGGATTAAATCACATAAACGTCCATCTGATTGTCCTCAAGTTCTGAAAGTTGGGTTAGAATCACACCCTGATGTCTGGATGTGAATTTCCTTACAGGTGTTTAAGTACAACACGTCGTTGGAAAAACACAAGATCTTCATCTCCGGGCTGCCGTTCTCCATCACTAAAGAGCAGCTGGAGGAAATGTGTAAAAACCACGGCTCCGTCCGAGAGGTCCGTCTAGTCACATATCGCTCAGGAAAGCCTAAGGTGAGACTTGGGAGGACAGTAGGGACTAAAGGACGCCCGATAATCAGCACCTGTGGTCCTCCGGCTGCTGAGTGACGTTTGTTGTGGATGCTCCGCAGGGTTTGGCGTACGTGGAGTTTGCTGATGAAGCGCAGGCCTCTCAGGCAGTTCTGAAACTGGATGGCATGGATGTGGAGGGCTGCAAAATCTCTGTTGCTATAAGCAACCCTCCTCGTAGGAGTATGATGGACAAGCCCGGTTCTAGCCGGCCCGCGGCGGATATGATGTCCCGTCAGGTCTACGGAGCGTACGTGAAGTCATTCCTTCTTTCTGGTCTTCCTTTGAAAATCCCACCTCAGACCTCATCTGTTTAAAATGCTGCCTGACTGAACCTGCCTGTGTAATAATAACATTTTAAATAAGCCTTTATTGTGTTCCATTTTAAGATATGAGCGGTGCAAACTGCTAAAACGCGTTACTTTCTTAGCATATTTTGTGTTTTCTGAAGTTACTCTTATGGAAAAAATCATTTTTCTTATTTTAGGAGAGGCAAAGGGCGAACTCAGCTCTCCTTACTCCCTCGTTCCCTGCATCGTCAAACGGCGCCTGTGGGTAAAGTAGAGAACGGGACTGCGGCTGAGCGAGCGACGGCCAGCACGGCGCCCAACGCCGCCGGGGAGTCCAGATCTTTGTCGAACGCAGACTTTGCCAAGATGCTTCTGAATAAATGAGACAAAGAGGAGAAAAACAACCGCCTTCACACTGAAAGCCATCTTGTGTCCTTATAAAATAGCGTTGGTGATTTTCCTGTAACTGTTTACCTGAGCGTCCCTTTAATCTGAGACATGGTTGCCTTAATCGTCTTGCTCCTGCGTCGCCAACAGGAACAAACTAGAGAGTCTGGTTGGATGTGGCTGTTTTATTAAGTGTACGATATTTGTGTGTAAATATACTTTAATGGAAGCTGTTTGCTTTTGTTGTGAACTGTTAAAGGCATCCGACGGAAGATTATGTGAAAGTATTTTTTTAAATATTCCAAACAGCAGAACTTGTGAATGTTGTTTAAAAAAAAAGGTAAATGCAGAAGTTGTGGTCTGGTGTATTATAGTAGCTGTGTGTACAGAATGTGGACGTGCTGCGGTGATCAAATGTTCGGCTGTTTTAACAGAAACAAGAACTTTATGCTGTAACTTATTTAGATGTATAAACACTCGTTGGAGTTAACTAAACCAGGTTTTTCTTTCATTATTAGGTTGGAATAATAGTTGAACCATTTATTAATATGCATTGTGTTGCTGTGGCGTGACGCCTGAACCATCCGCTTATTTGAATGGAGCTCGTTGTTCTTGTTATACGGTAAGAAAGCTGCAGACGTTCCTCACATTATTACATCATTTCCGAGTTCATTGTTTATCTGTTTTTCTCATTTTAATGGTTTGTGCTTCTGGTTAATAACGTTAAAGATTTCATCATCTCTGTTTCAGACTCACGGTTTTGTTCTCAGCCCCAGAAAAAGGCTTCTGATGCATTTCATTTCCTTTTTCTTCTAGAGCTCAAATAGACAAAACAAATGATGCAAATTTGTCTGATTTTCTTTATGTAAATAAATAGTATTTTACTTCCAATGTTCAAAACTGGAACTGTTTCTTCCCACGCTTTGATTTTTCCCCCCCTCACTAAATCTATTATGCATTGAAGCCCAATAAGGATTTGATTGTTTGCATAAAAACTGTAAATCTGAAAGGAAGGTTAGATTTAGTTTCTCACCTTTTCTGAGGGAACACTAGAGGATTTCATTAGAACCCTGCAGCATGAGGCTTTTCTCTCTCTCTCTCTCTCTCTCTCTCTCTCTCTTTCTCTCTCTCTCTCTCTCTCTCTCTCTCTCTCTCTCACTCACTCACACTGCTGCAGCTCCTGTGATACATGGAAGATAATCTATGCAGTTGTTTCATGTTCCCTTAAATTGGAGGGGAAGTGTTTGGTGTTTTGTAAATAATGTTCAGTAAACAAGTTTCAAAAGGTTGATCTTAGCTGGTATTACATGATTCTTCTGAACAGACGGTGTGCATCGCTGTCACCACAGTGCCCTAATCTAGGAGTAGAGATCTAAAGTAAGATGTACATGAGTTCAGTGTCATTTAAGTATTTCACAACTATAAAAGTAACTTTACTCACTGTTTGATTCACATTAAATAAATCCACTTATGCGTGCACGGGTGTGCCATATTAGGCTTTAAAGTTTGATATAAGGAGCATTTATGAATAGATTATTAATCACACAGTGGGGTAATGTTAATCCTCATGGAATTTGAAGAAAACAAAAATAATGACTTTGGAAAATGATCCCATTTATGACGAGTGAGTGGATGGTTTACTGAAAAACCAACTGAGAGTAGAATATCCCGTAGAACCAAAGGATGTGAAGACATTTATAGACCTTCTGACGGCAGACAGGATTCATCTAGATGAAGCTCTAAATAATAACTTTATCATAGTTGATGCCAGTGTATAGGTTCTGTGTTGGAGGCAAATAGCCTATCCAGTTATATTTTAATAACCACTTCTATTTAGGGTTAGTAAAATAGATGAAGAGACACACAGTCAGGTCCACAAATATTGGGACATTGACACAATTCTTACATTTTTGGCTCCATACCCCACCATAATGGATTTGAATTGAAACAAACATGATGCACTATAACAGCAGACTGTCAGCTTTAATCTGAGGGTATCTACATCCAAATCAGGTAAATGATGTAGGAATTACAACAGTTTGCATGTGTCTCCCACTTGTTAAGGGATGGAATAATCATCAATCAAACCACTTTTTATTACTTGGTTGCAAATCCTTTGAAGTCAGTTAGGCCATGGTTAAAGTGACAGTGTGTAGTTTCCCTGGTGATAGGCGGCAGTAGATACCTAAATGATTGCAAGCAAGCATTACTTTTGTGTTCAAGTAATACCTTACCAATGGATGGCCATTAGGGTCAAAATCCCTGGGAGCACAACCTCCGGCAAAATAAAAAGAACATCAGATTCTCTTTCACCACTGGCAACGAGTGAAGAGGTAAAAGTGTAAAGCAACAATGTTTATTAATGGTGAAAGTTTTGTAACCATTTGTTACAAATCAGTAAATGTGTTTTGTCCTCCTGGGCCTCCGTAGAAGGAAACACATCATCCAATACGGCGCCGCCCAGAGACTTAGAGCCTCCCCATGTATTTTGGAACAGATTTCTATGGTTATGTGTTATGAAACTGCCAATATTTTTCCATCAACTGGGCATCTTTTAATTCATTTACATCATTTTGGTGGAAATTTCCAGAGATTAATGGTAAAAACTACACATTATAACTTTAATTCATATTTTCTAGAAATAGTGGCCTACGTTTCAGTAACATTTCAAGTTTGGATTAATATCACTCATCCTAGTCAAAATGACATATCTAAATATATCCACAGTTAAACTATGATCAGTAGAATTTAATGTATTTCATTAACATGTTCAGTAGTACTGGAAATGCTAAAAACATTTCATTTTTACTGGTAACAATTTAAATGGTGACATACCTATTATGTACAGGTTGGCAATAGATTATGTTCAAAGATAGAAGTTTGTGAATTTCACACTTCAACGGCTTGCCACAGACCTACAGCTGTGTTTGTTGAGCAAGCAGCAACGAGACTCCAGGATAGCGCTGCAGGCAGCAAAGAATAAACAGGATGGTGCGGGATATGTCTTCCAATTGTAGAGTTTAGTCATTCTTAATTTCATGATCATCGACCATTTCCATCATTCCAGAGCTCATACAGGCTTTGAATAACTTCAGTTTTGATTTTTAAACCGGTTTTAAGCTTCTCTGTAAACCTCATTCCGTGTTTAGACAGAGAAGTGTTTAAATATTGAGGATTTTGCCCACAAACTCTCTTGAAAGCATCTTTCCTCACAGTCACTCACACAAAGATGAAAAAAGATGCCAACAAAGATCCTCCTACTGATGCTTGGGAGCCCTGCTAGAGTGACAGTTAGGCCTTCCTCAGGGCTTTTGGTAGTCAGCTGCATAAATAACCTTCTCTGGTTTTATGCTCAGTGCTGAAAAAAATATATAAATAAAAGTTGTGTTGTGCGCTTTGCTGTTTAGAACAATTTCTAGTCCAGGGGTGTCAAACATCCGGCCCGCGGGCCGGATTGGGCCCGCAAGCAGGTTAAATCCGGCCCGCGAGATGGTTGTGTAAACTTTATTTTCATACTTTACAATGTAGAGTGAAAATAAACTTATCTTTGTGAGCAAGTTTTCTCTGTAATGAGTATAAATAAAACAAAGCTGCGCTCAAGGCTCACACAAGAACTTGAATCACATCCTGAAGTTGGCCGCCACTCAGGATGTGACTTCTGATAGTGATGTTCTGGTGAAAGCTAAAAGATGTAAAGTAAAATATATTTTAAGTGCTGCATGAAACTGATCTAGCCATGTGATCTGTAAGCTCTTTGAATCACTAAGGAATGTTTTATTATTTATTATTTGTTTCAAATTTTCAAGTACACTTCAGGTGTTGCACTTGTACTATTTTGGATACACTGTCCTCAGGCTCCAGCCTTGTTTTACATTGATTGTACTAAAACAAAGAAAACAATCTGAAGTTGTTTTTAATTTACCGGTCCAGCCCACTTGAGACTAGATTTCCCTCAATGTGGCCCCTGAGCTAAAATGAGTTTGACACCCCTGTTCTAGTCTGTGCTTTAAATTAGAAAGGTCAGTAAATAAGAAAAGGCTTCAGTATTATGAAGTGTTTATGCCCTCTTGTGCATTTGGGTTCATTTTGTTCTTGTTCTAATGAAGTCTTGTGAATCCTAAGTGGTGCCCGAATGGCTTTGTACGTGATCAAAAATCCTGCCAGTTGAAAACACCATCAAAGTTAATAAACCACCATCAAAGTTAATAAACCTTATTTATTTTCAAATAAATACATCAAAGTGCTTTGCAGTGCCAGACAAAATTATCCTGAAGACGACTCCATGGCAAAAGGGATCCTTGAGCAGAAACAGTTTCTCACATCAGCAGTAGTCAAATTCAGATTGCATCTAGTGGAAATTCATTCAACATTTCCTTTGAGAATAATATTTTTTATGATGGAGGTAAATAATTATATGGGGAATAACCTGAATAAAATCTGATTTCAGTCCCTCCTTTTGCAGCAGTTATATCCTCTTAGGTTTGGTCAAAACCAACATTTATGGTAGATCTGTCAATAAAAGCTTTGACATTAAATTGATTTAACAATGCTTGCTCCATGTTTCCTCTTCCGGGTTTAGTTGTGGACTGGGATGGTCTGTTTGCAGCTGGTGCAGGCCTGATCCTGGTCGGCTCCAGGCAGGCCCACAGCATGTTCTGTGGTAGAGATCAACAACGTGTCTAAAGTTATTTCTGTACATTTGGCTATAAAGCGAATGAAGGGTCGAACGTCCCCCTCGTTGGCTGTGTCTAGAGCGGAGTAATACTCCGCCCTTTGCTCTTTGCGAATGGTGATCGGCGGGTAGCTGGCTTGCATGAGCACAAGGTTCATAAGCAGCCGCGACGTGCGCCCGTTCCCATCGACGAACGGGTGCACATACACTAGTTTGTAATGGGCGAGAGCTGCGTACTCCACAGGGTGCAGCTGCAGGGTTTCCTCCGAGTTCAGCCACTGAACCAGCTCCTGCATGTGCCTCTGCAGGTCTTTAGGGTGGGGTGGGATGTGGTGGCCCACAAATACCTGACTGGTACGAAACCGTCCGCCCTCCACAGGGTCCACGTAGCCAAGCACCCTTCGGTGAATCTCCAAAATGTCGCTGACAGTGATGGCTCCTGATCTGGACAGCAGAGTGGTGTTGATGTACTTCATGGCTGCGTCCACACCGATGGCCTCGTTCTGCTCCTGGAGGCTCTTTCCAGGAACGGCATAACGCGTCTCAATGATGTGACGAATCTCAGACAGAGTAAGGGTGCTGCCCTCTATGGCCACAGTATGGTAAATGTGGTGGTAATAGGTTTCCTCCATCACTCGACGGAGTGCAGAGTTCCCTTTAGGAATGGACATAAGTCTGCGCACTTTACTGTCGATTAAGCTGAAGTAACGCTGATCAATCTCCTCCACCAGGGGAAGAGTTCGGTCTCGGCTGATCAGAGCTCGCTCATTACATGGCGAGATGGTCAAGGCCTTTGTGTAGAGATGATCTGCCTGGACGACATCCTTCTCTTCCTCTAGAATGGTCCCCAGCTCAGTCAGAGCATCTACAGACTCTGGGTTCATACTTAGAGCATGGACCAGCAGCTTGTGAGCCTTCTCCCTCTTCCCAAGCTTCTTCATCTCCACAGCCTGCAGCAGCGCCGCTTTGGCCTCCAGCACCATTTCTGCATTCAGGGCAAGAAAAACAACAGAGGAGGTCCGATTACATATCAGGTCTTCACCTGAACAAGTTTATGAAACATTAAAAATGAATGTACAGTCCTGATATAATGAAAATATTCAGTTTGTTAAAGAAATCTGAGTTTAAATAAAAAAAAGATTACAGGTTTATTTTTGAAAATTTCCTAATTTTCCTGACTTCAATAGATCAGAAAATCTCTGGATCTGCTTTTCATGTCTGAAATCGAGTCGTGTTAACTTTTTGGGGAGATAAAAAATTGTAAGTTCACCTCATCCATCATCTATCTATATATGTAGACACTGGTTGTTTGAGTTTTTTTTTTAATTAGAAAACTCAGTTTATGTGGAATTTAAATATGGAAGAAAGCTGATAGTTTTACAGGAAAATTCTATCCCTATAATAAACCGCACGCCCTCTCTAACGTATAGAAGTCCTGTTCGTACCTTTGCTGGGTTTGGACTTCTGAGGCAGCACATCCAGGGCGGTGAAGGGGACAGTCAGGCTGGTGGACTGCGCAGCTGGGGGCGGCTGCGAGCTCCCCCACAGCTGGCAGCGGAGATGAGCGACGCCCTTCATGTAGGCACAGCGCTGGTTCTCCACTCCGACCAGGGGCAACAGGAGGGCCACCAAGGAGCCGACAGTCACGCACAACAGCGGGCCCCATCCTCCGAGGAGACGAAGACCGCTGATGTAACGCCACTCCGTCAAAACAGCCATGATCCCGGGTTGAAGCCGCCATCATTCGGTGACAATAGACCCCATCTATACCCACCCACTGGTTAAAGAGGAGGGAAAACAGTCGGAAACAAAACACGGCTACTACGCCGGGGGGACAACAGCAGTAACCACTAACCTTTATAGAGCTCTGAGTTTCGGTAGCTGACTTAATTTAACCTTCTGTAACCCTTGACTGAAGCGATAGAAACACCAAACAGGTAAAATCTTCAAGCAGATGGCTACCTTTTTTTTTATCCGCGTCGGCACAGCTGTGTACAAACCAACAAACGCACACATCATTGACTTCCTGTAGGAGGTGAATAAGCTGATCTCTCATTGGCTGGAACAGATGAGAAACAAGATTTCTATTGGTTAAAATATGGATACACGTTCCTGTCATTGATAGGCTAAGACGTGAAGAGAATGTCAGGGATAGATTTCCCTCAGTTAGGCCTGACAGGCAGAGAACTAGTGATGGGAATTCCGGCTCTTTTTAGAGAGCCAGTTCTTTTGGCTTAGCTCACCAAAAAGAGCCGGCTCTTTCGGCTCGCAAGTGGCTCCTTAGATTTTCAGTTGCGTAGAGTACATTTATAACCAAAATAATGCAAAACTATATGTTAAATGATTTACTAATGTAAAAAAATGCAATATATCAAATATTTATCATTTCTATGGATTTAATAACTGAACACTTTAAGAAATCTCCACTTTCCAACTGCTGGCGCTCATTTTCTCACCGTCTTCGTCGCACTCTCCTCTCTCTCTCGCCTTTTTCCTCCTCCTCATTCCCTCTCGTCTCCCTCCACCCGCATGTGCTCTGCTGTGTCTGTCTGAGTCTGATCCTCCCTCTTCCCCGCCCCTACTGCTCTGTGTGTGGACAGTCTGGACACGCAGTTACACATGTTGACCAAACGCCTGTAGCTTTCACCAGAGCAGGGGGGGGGGGGGGGGGGGGGGTGCTCCCAATGACGAGCCGGCTCCCGTCGTTCACTTCAAAGAGCCGGCTCTTAGAGCCGGTTCGTTCACTACCGACACATCACTACAGAGAACACGCAACAACTGACAGACCCCTAGAGCCATAATAACCAGCTCGGCCTCCTCCAATCAGCAGGGAGATTTTAACCCAAGACACTTCACTTAACTTGCCTGTGTTGGTGGTGGTCAGAGGGGCCGACGCCGCCAAATGGCAGCCTCGCCTCTGTCGGACCGCTGTATATTATTTTATTTTATTATTATTTTTATGTTATTATTTTTTCTTTCTGATATTTAGATTTTGAAGGCATCAGAACTATGAATGAACATGTGGAGTTATGTACTTCACCAAAAAAGATGAAATAACTAAAAACATGTTTTATGTGCTATTTTCTTCAGATAAGCCACCCTTTGCTCTGATTACTGCTTTGCACACTCTTGGTATTCTCCTGATGAGCTTCAAAAGATAGTCTCACCTGAAATGGTTTTCCAACAGTCTTGAATGGCGAAGCCTTCCAGTTGTTTGTATATTATTCTGTCGTATGTGAATTATGTAGAGTATGCTACCAGTTCTACCAGTTGTGCTATGTCGTCTGCTGTGAGTTTTGTTCTTTTGTGTAGTTTTGTCCTGTCTGATTCTGTTTACTACTATGTTTATTTATAATATTTATAACATTTAAAATGCTCGTTTATTTATCCTGCTGCTTTGATCCGTTCTATGTAAAAACCTTTGATCATGTAACATATGTAGCCCATCATTATCATCATCATCATCATCATCATCATCATCATCATCATCATCATCATCATCATCATCATCATCCATCCATCCATTTGTGTGTGTGTGCGCGCGTGTGCATGTGTGTGCTTGTGTGTGTGTGTGTGTGTGTGTGTGTGTGTGTGTGTGTGTGTGTGTGTGTGTGTGTGTGTGTGTGTGTGTGTGTGTGTGTGTGTGTGCCTGCTCTGTCTTCTCGATCCCCAGTGAGTCGTGGTGGATGGCTGCTTATACTGAGCCAGGATTCTCTGGAGGTTTCTTCCTGTTAAAAGCGAGTTTTCCTCTCCACTGTCGCTTTATGCTTGCTTAGTATGAGGATTGCTGTAAAGTCACTGACACTAGTCAGACTTGATGCAATTTGCTGGGTTCCTTATATAGGAAACATTATTTCTGATTGGCTTAATGAACTGACCTGAATTGGAATGTTTATTATGTGAAGTGCCTTGAGACGACTCTTGTCGTGATTTGGCGCTATATAAATAAACTTGAATTGAATTGAATCATCATCATCATCATCATAAAAAAACAAAGGAGGACAAACTTGATTTAAGTTTTTTAATCATCCTGCATAATCAGGGTAAATGAGGGAATATTAAGGCAAAGTCATCTTTATCCTCCCTTCTTTGCTCTGCTCCTGTGAGCACACATACAGTAGAGGGCAGCATTGTCCTTCTACAGAACCATCCCAATAAAAGCCCACCTAGTTTACTGCAGCAACACTGATGGGCCTCAGAATCAGTGTGTTTAGGATTTTAGTTCAGTTTTCCAACCCAACTGGACCCACGAGTCCTCTCACAGTAATCAGTCTTATTTTTTAATTAAAGCACCATGTTTATTAATAGTAGTGCTAAATGTAATTACCACCAGCTGTGAGCAGCGTGAGGTGATCAGGGCTGATTCCTGGGTGCATGCCAAAGCCGACGTTCTTACACATAACCACAGCAGATGGCCATGGCAAGTCATCAGCTCCAAATAGCTGTTAATCATGCACAAAGCATAACTATACAAACACAGTCAGCCCACATAACAGGGAAAGTTATGAATGGATGATTGTGTCAGTTGGTGTGCAATAAAAAAGCTCAGCATGCTTAAGGGAATAATTTTGTGTCGTCACTGCGAGGCACTGGCAACCTGTCCAGGGTGTACCCCGCCTTCTTGCCCAAAGATGGTTGGAGATGGACACCAGCCCCCCCCCCCCCCCCCCCCCCCCCCCCCCCAGCGACCCTGCATGGATAAGCGGGTACAGAAAATGGATGGATGGATGGATGTGTGTCGTCATGATGAGCTTCAGACCTACAGTACATTCAGCAGCAAGGTTGGATTATAATATGGGCAAACTGGGCACAGGCCCCGGGGCCCACAGCCACAAGGGGGCCCATGCAAGAAGCTGTCTTTTTTATTTTATTTTTTTTTGTGTGCAGCAGTCTTAATATTGGAAAAAAAATGTTGACAAGTAATTAAAATTGTGCCCACATTTTCTAAGCTAACACACATTTCTTTTAACAACGGTAGTTTTTGCATCTTTACTGTTCCTGCTTCAGCCCTCTCCCCCCTCCCCATGCGCAGCGGCCGCAAACTCACTGATGCGCCTGCAGCCTCTCAGAGTTCCTGCTGCTCTAAACATGGAAATAATCATTTAATTTTCTGTTCCTCACTTCTGATTACCTTCAATGGTGTCTGTTTGTTGCAACCATGGACGTAATTTTCACTTTAGAAGAGGGGGGGACACGGGGGGGGGTATCTTTACAGTATGCTCTAATGGGAAACAGGCTTCAACACAAACGGTTGTTTTCCGCTTGGTCCTAGAGCTCAACCAGTGTCAGTTTAATATAGCGTAATGTTGTTTGTGGATGGTAAAAAGTGCAGGGGTCAAAACTTGACTTTGGAAAAAGTGGGGGGGACATGTCCCCCCTGTCCCCCCCCCAAAATTACGTCCATGGTTGCAACCACCAGGTACAAAAACTAACATGTTTTTATTTGACTATTTTTCTGTCCTGTCTGTTTATTATCTTCCTGCATCTCCTCTCAATCCTAAAGAAAAACTGCTACCTGGGTTCATATATATTCACCTTATGAATTACCTTTGAACTGCAGTTCTAAAAGATCTACCGACCGCAAAAATACCGGAGTGCGCAGCGCGCCGGCCGCACCGGTGAGGTGAAATCACCAGAGGACGAAACAGGTTATGGCCTCCGCTCCACAGCAGTAAAACGCATCAGGCACAAATAAAAGACAGAAACCATAAAAGGATATGAGCCGACATAAACAATCGCGTGTTAAATATGTTTTTGAGGTGGCAACACTTTGAGGATGTTACTGTGGCAGTTCTCAGGACGCATCTGTCTGGAACGCATCAACCATCAGAGCTCTGTGCCTCTCAGCTCTAAATAATCCCAGTGGAGTCCACATGAATAATGTAATATAAATAGAACCATGATCATTTACGGGCTAAAAAAATAGTTTACAGTCCATCTTCCCGAATGTGTTTGTGGCCCTGCAGATTTTTCTAACTCTACCTGCACTTCTTATATGTACCTCTCAGCATAGGACTCTCATAAGGGTACCGCACCATCAGCTACGTCAGCCCAGACAAGAGCAGAGAAAATAGAGAAAGAACAGAGGATAATTCTGTCTGGATGTGGATGGAGATTACATTTTACAGCAGCCTGATCATCATTTAAATACGTAAACCATCACCTGGCTTCTAGCCCATGCTATCACCATTATTTTAATTTGTGCGTTTGTGTGTGTGTGTGTGTGTGTGTTCCACTTCAAACACTGGTCTATCCAACCAGACCAGCGTTGCGTGTCCACTGTCCAGTAACATATTAATGTTACAATTAAACAATTTCACTCCATGTAGACTAGAAACATTTCACCTGCCGAAAGGCCGACCGCTTCTGCTCCACATAAACTTTGTGCGTGATCAAATGCCTCTACAGGTGCTTTCTGAGCTGAAGAGGCTATTCTGCCTCAGACTGGATGCGTCATGCATCTCCATATTAGAGACGGGAACAAGCGCTGTTCAGCCAAAGTTTCATAATCAGAGAACATTTTTCCAAGTGACACATCCCTCAGAAAGACCGGGTTTCCAGACAGCTTCAGTGGAAGGAAACCTTACCGCATCGCTGTGGTTCTGCACTGCGCTGCGAACCCCTATACAGATCTTCAGCTCACAGTCCACCGTGTGCACTGCGAGCTGCGCTGAGCACAGTGTCCAGTATAAAGCTCTGATGTTCTGATGGGAATCTTTTCTTGATTGATTTAGTTACCTCCGCGATGTGCGTAACAATTAAAATGTCAGCTCATCTGTGTGTGCATCAGTGTGCGTCGGGGTGATTCTTTCAAAACAACCAACATCCTTGAGTTTATCCGTCAAAATCAACAGTCAAATAGAAATATCTGTAACCTGCCATTTAACTGTTTTGCCTTCTTGTGAAGATTGTTGCAAAGAGAAACAGTTAAACTTGATTAAACCCAGAGCCATGCACACTTTGCTGTACTGACTGTAAATGAGGGGGAACACTATTTAATCTGATCCTTTTCTTACCTTTTCAACAGGGTTTATTGTAAAAATG